ATGACCAAAAATAAGCATATATTTTATAAAAAAAATACGTATTCTAATCGATTATATGAATTCAAATCAGCAGTCACAACTGTTACGAGTATTGCATTTATTAATTTAATATTTAATTACAGTGAAATTAAGGCATTTTTACTTAAAGTTGGCTTCTTTCTCACGAAAATGCAACATTGGAAAGAACACTTTACAGGCAATAAATGTGAAAGAAGTGAATTTGCTGCGAAGACCACAGCAGTGTTGGAGGAGGATTTCTAGTATCCCATTTCACAAAAGTTTTTAACCTGAATTAGATCGTCTGAAATTTCAGTTTCCTTATCATCACCAGAGAATTCCGATAAAGAACTTTCAGGACTACCAGAAACATTTATATAAAATTCAGATTTGCTATTTGATCCAATATCAGAATTATTGTTTGTTATTAGCCATTTACTGTCACCCACTGTTCTTTCATTTCGTGACAAAATTGGAAAGAAATACTATTCGTAAAGCCTAATGCACTGAACATGCGCAAAAAAATTCAAATATCTTCGCCAAATAAAAAGTTGTAAAACTCATCCTTGAACTGATTTTACAATCCATTCTCTCCTGGACTACTAGAGACATCTATTAGAAACACTGCAGAGTAAAAAATGTGAATAAGCAGGGAAAATCAGTGGATTGGTGTAGGAAAATACACTGCCCGAGTGGTGTAACAGGCAAATCAAAAAGTCCCTCTTCGTGGCACCCGAACGGTGTTCAGGCAAAAGAGTCAAGTGGTTAATAGAAAAAAAAAAAAAACTTTCCCCTTCCACAAAGTTAGATACACTGGGTATCAACCATTAATTAAGGAAAAATCACAAATATGATGATTACTCAAAAGGTTACAAGTAGAATTTAATGAAACTGACTCACAGTATACAACACATATTAAGGTATAAAATAATACGAAAAGAAATTACCAGACAACTATGGTGTTATAAAAATTAGCAAAATGTATAAAATAAACAAAATTGGACCTGTCAGTTTGGTATAGGAAAATTATCTTCAATATAGAGTATGACCTATCCTAGAAGCAATATAACACATACAGCAATGTGCAATGCTGTCAATTATGTAATCCATTAGTTTGCAGGAAGTGAGATCAATTCAGTTGCAAGCATGACAAGGGTCTGAAGAGGAAGCATAAGAGCAGTATATGTCTTTCCTACAGCATCCCAAACATGCTTGATAGGATTCAGGTACAGTGATTGAGCTGGCCACTCCATGCACTGAATTGTTTGCAGCTGAAGATAATTATCCACAATGAGAGTCCTATATGTTCTATTGTCCTGCAGCAGGAAATTATCACCTATTGCCTTAGCATAAGAGCACACATGAGCATCAAGGATGTCATCTCTAGACCTGTACATTCATGATTTCACATGGAAAGACATAGTGGCACCCAAAGATGTACCACCACAGACATTGCTTCCTCAGTTATGAAACTCTTTCACAGATGTTTGATAGATGATTACAGGTCTCAGGTTTTCTTGAAATTAAATAATGCCTACTATCGCTTTGGACGCTAAACCTGGACTGATCCAAAAAGAGAACAGACCTCAAATGATCAGCTGTCTAGTGGACATGCCCACTTCAAACATTCCCTTCTATGATGTGGCATGGTCTAGTGTTGCCGTCCTGTAGCAGGAAATCATCACTTATTGCTCCAGTAAAAAGGGACACATAAGCATCAAAGATATCATCTCTATAGACCTGCACATTCATGGTTCCACATGGACAGCCATGGTGGCACCTAAAGACATACCACCCCCAAAACAGACACTGCTTTCTCTGTTATGCATCTTTTCACAGATGTTTGATGCGTGATAATGGGTTTCAGGTTTTATCCAAATCAAATAATGCCTACTGTCGCTTTGGATGCTAAACCTGGACTCATCCGTAAAGAGAACAAACAGCCCTCTAATGATCAGCTGTCCAGTGAATATGCCCACCTCAAACGTCCCCTCTTAGGACATGAGCAGCATGCAAATAGCTGGTTGCCTTGCATACAGACCTCCATCGTACAGCTTTCTACCCACGGTTGACATTCACACCAACCGTCCAGTGGCTGCAACTTGAGGTTCTATACCTTTGTGCATTGTGACAACAAATATTCGTCATTAATGCTCTTCATAGCAGTTGGCCATCCTTGGCTGAACCTGCAAGATGCCAAATCTGTGGTTAGAAATTGTTGACAAAGTCTATGAATTACAAGACTCACATTTAGATATTTGGCCACTTCTGCCTGACTTTTTTCTGCTTCTAGTCTCCCAATAGCTGTCCATTGCAATCTTTGGGCTAATGATGCTTAGAGGTCATTGTTACAAATTGGATACTTCACTTTTCTTATATCACTATCACAACAAAATCTGCATGCTTGCTCCGAAACATGCAATTTTAGGTTCCTCGCAGATGACATATTTTGATTGCATTGCCACTAATTTGCATACCGTAGTTTTACTCAGTAATTTTTATTTGACAACATACTCAAATTTTGCACAGTTTGGCTTATTTTTGAGCAAGTCATTGCTGTTTTTGGAATTTTTCCTTAATATTTGGAAATGCATATTGATAAAAGTAAAAATTTTGTATATAAAATAAATAGAGAAATAAATAACCTGTATATGAAAATAGCTAAGTTTTATGGTAAGAATGAATCTTCAATTGGAAGGCTTGAAGAATAAGGAAACAATTAACGCTTGTCTTTTGACTTAATCACGAGCTGTGTAAGCTACTGCCATAGTTCAAAATAAACTGCTAATAAAAGTAAAAAAATACTTTTATATTTTTGGTTCCTCTTCAGCTTCTAAGATGATGATCCTAATGATCCATAGCACATTTTTCAATTTAAAACAAGCACACCATCATCGATGTTTACACCATTGGCCCACTTTTCTTCTCACTTCATGTTCTGCTATAATCAAATCCATACAGATGTCACCGAATACCATAGAAAGTTAACATCCTTTTCTAACAGTCAAGTTTTCTTATTGCATGTTATGTACGCACAGGTTTCACTGTAGAATTTGAAGCCCTAAAATCCTTTTTTTAAAATTGCTTTGTTGCAAAAGAAAGATTTATTCCTACTATCTTCTGACACAGCTTGTCTACAAAGTACAGGAAGAGTGTGTCTTAATTTCTGACTTTATGGATCAAGGGAAATTTTTAGTCTTTTACTTAATACATCTGAGCGAAAGAATGAGTATAGTTTAATGCAGAATAAATTTTGAACTAGTTTATTAACATATTTTAGTTATTTTGCATGAAGTAATATAATGCACAGTATATTTTATTATTACTTATTAATGTTGATAATGTCTTGCAGTGTCAAATTTATAAATTAAATTTCAATGAATTAATTTATGTAATATAAGTATTCTATTTTACATAGTGTTCACTATTATCCCTAATATGCCTTGGTTTAAACTACTTGCATATACAGGGACACCACTATACTACTACTACTACTACTACTACTACTACTATTATATACATAGTTTTAATGTCAAGTTACATTATCATATCATCAGCAGAATGTCCACTGAGATATTGCAAAATGTTAGGACAGAATTCTTTCAACTAGTTTCCCTGAAAAAACTGTAATGATTACTAACACTTTCAACTTGTTTTCCTTAAAATATTATTTGCTAATAAAAAGAGATGCCCTGATTGGTATATTATTAATTAGCATTGTTGGCTGCTGTATCAAAGGGCTTGTGTTTAAATTCTGAAGAACACTTGAATATTTTTTGCACTGGTTTATTAATTTTGCACTAGTAATGCTAATAAAATTCAATTACTAATTTATAATGATATTCATAAATTTGTCAATCACTATTCTAGCAGGACAAATTTATTTCCAATATATATATATATAAAGGCTGAAGCAGAACTGTTTAGTTTCAATAACCATTTAAATTATTAATTATATTCAAAAACCAGCATACAATTTTCATGATAAATATTACATTAACATATATGCAATTTATCAATAATATGAAACTGTACTGGAAATGGAACATGGAGGTAAATCAAATGAAAGGATTTAACATTTCATAAAACTACAAATACAAAATAATTTTAAGAAATATTGATTTAATTAACAAGGCTATTAAATAACCAAATGATAGAAATAACTTTTCTTAATTACTCAGAATGTTCAAAATATCCCAAAGATACAATGTATGACAACTCCTACCCCTTCCCAGATAAAAATTCTTCAGTTATATACATAGGATTTAAGATTAAACTTGAATGGTTAACTTGAACGTTTTACCTTTTGACTAAATGAATGTTATATAACTTAAATTACTTATGAAATCAATAAATAAATGAAATAAGATATAGATCAGATAAAAAAGGACTGGGGTAAACTTTGGAAAATAATTACCACCAACACAAAATTTCATATTTTAAAATTCATTATCAGTTTCTTTAATTTATTTTCATTCATGTAAAAATAACTTAAAAATTTTGCCTGAATTCACATGAATGAGAAACAGCAACTTATAAATATCGCACATCTTATTTTTAAAATACCACATTTACTAAATGGGAGATACAAATTATTAAAATAATAATTTGATAAAGTAATTTTGTAAAAAAATTATTATACAAAGGTAATAACTTGAAACAGCAATTTAACATCATAATACAGCACCACATTTATAAGATGTGTTAGAAAACACTGCTGTAAAAAATAGCATACTGAAAAAGGGGATTAAAATCTGAATTCTGTAAAAAATTAGGTTTGTAACAATTTAATGATACTTTTAAATTCTATGCATAAAACCACATCCTCTTTTAAACACTTTCAGTTAACCTTTTAAAGTATATAAAACACAATTAAAACGTGCACGAAACACAAAGGGAAAGGTGGGAATTATAAAAAGGATCAGGAATAATGAATAAAAAACTACAAATTATTCCAAAAGAAATTGAGCTTCAGAAAAAAGTTTCGAGCAACAGAAGTTTACCATTTAAATAGGAAGTTCCACGAAATCTGATCCATTCAAATATCTTCGGAACAGCTGCAAACAAAAGGAAATGTACTTAGGGACTAAAATGTTTACTTCACCATTATAATTTTTACACTGCTTGACCAAGTCAAAAAGATTTAAGAGATTTTTTAACACAGATGTTCAGTTTAAACTGCCTATTAATAATAAGAATATATGACCAAAATGACAATAAATTACCTTCTTGAAAAAGCAGACCTGTACATCAACAGAAAAGAAATTTTATATAAATTTTGTATTCTTATCCATAACTCACGCAAAATTAACATTTTGATAATAAAGACTACTAATGATTGTCAAAGTCTAGTAAATTGTCTGAAATTAACTTCTGGCAAAATTCTACAGTCACTACAGGATTAGAAAATATACCTGAGGTGTAAAGAACACACTTTATAACTCAATATTACATGTAATTGAATATCACATACCTAATATAGCAAAATCTACAATACTCTCAAAGTCTAAGTTTTCACAGATCAACAAACTATTGTGCATAAAACATTTTACAAAATACCACAAAGAATCCTTCTAAAGAATAATATGCATGGAACAATTCATAACACAACAAAGAACCCCTAATAATGAATTTGATTTCAGAAAGTAAGTACACTGAAGCAGCCAATGATTAATTTTTTTTAAAGGGGAATAGCCGAGTTGATACAGTAAAAAAAGGACATGATATACCATATTCGTGTGCAACAGGGAACACTGCTGTGGAAAAGTAAAAGCACGCATTCTTGTCTAGTGCAAATACTCAACAGAATGATTTTTTAACATATAAGAAACAATAATTTATATAAATGGTTAGAAAATAACACAAATCATGGTTAATAATGGGGAAGGACCCATGAAAGCAATCAAATAACCATATATTGCAACATTCAAAGCAAATACTTCTAACCCTAATATTCTCTTGTAATAATCTTAGTGTATGTGCCTAAATTCAATATACTGTGACGTTTAAGCTTTGTGCTGCTAACACGAGAATAACAAAACTCAGTTATTACTTTCTTCTTGTGAACATATATATTATAAATTTTCCCTATGTGCTTCCTTCATGTAGACTATGCATACCTCCTTACCAACAGCTCTTAAACAAAATTTTATTATTGAAAAAAGAATCTGAAAGCTTTCAGATTTTATATTATGCGCAAAAGGTTATTTTTTTAACATTTTGTAAGTTAACTTTATTTATTAAATACCATGTTCTTTGCACTTAAGCCATAAAATTCAGCTCAACAGCAATATCGCTAAATAATTTTAAAATGCACATATGTTGAGAATTTCCAATACACAGTCTCATGTGCTGGAGATAAAAATGTCCCCCCCCATAGTGTTGCCATTGCTCACTTTGAAATCGTTAAATTTGTTAATAAAAAATTCTTAAAGTTTTACAAAATATGAAATAGATAATAAAACAAATTCCAAATTTGAGCTTCCAGATACCCAGATTTGGGTCAAAATGTACGTTATTCAAAATTTGATGGCTCTAGGTACCATTGTTTTATCACAATGCAAGAAACATCATACATTTATGCAGATTCTTATTATTTAATTTCTTTAAATATAATACAAAGCTCTAATATTTCCTGGCAACAATTTGAAAAGTGAACTGAGATTTCAACGCAAATTGTCAAAATGAAATTAATAGTCCTTCTGGCCAAACTGCCCTTTTGGACTAAATATTCTTTTGTGTTCAACTATGTTAGACCATGAGATCATCTAAAATATAAAACTGGTGATTAAAATGATAAAAGACACAGGTGCAGGCATTAATTAATATTGTTACTTTCTAAACCCAAAATTAAAATATCGATGGACTATCAGAAGTGGATTTGAATTTTTCGGATAATGGCAAAGCAATGTAGGGCTATTTGTCTAAGGGAAGGAATGAATTTTTGAAGGAAGTTTCGAGAGAAATTGGCTTGCTATCACATACAGCTTGGGAAAACCACGAAAGCTACCATAGAAAAACTATTTTGTTGGGATATGAACCCAGACTAAAGTAACAGTGTTCAGCAGTTTTATTGCTTGACTGCTGGTGGGTCACAAAAAAGGGGAACAACTAGGAGCAGAATAGCACTGTTGTAAAAAAAAACCCATTTATCTTGAAAATCTGGATATACATCAAAATTCCATAGAAACAGAAGCCACATGGAGTGCTTAAAAAGTACCTTTTCCATAATATAATGTAACAAATTTGTTCTACGAATGTCTAAGTAGGCTCTGCAGTTCTGGCCCAAAAATATTTATTTTCACAATATTTGAAAAATTGTACAACTGTCACATCCACGCATCTGAATGCACCTTATGCATAATTTTACTTATTTTCTCTCAAACCTTCTCTGAAGTGCTGGTTGTAAGCTAAAAGTGAGAGATGCAAAACTGGTTGAAAAAATAAGAGATGCAGCTACACACACCATTAATCTGAAAGTTCTACAAAAAAATTCTGTTAATGATTTTATAAAATGTAAGTACTGTACAAATGTGGTCATTCTTTGACACAAGATTTTGCCTGTGATCATTTCAACTAAATTACTAGAAACCATTTATATTTTTAAGTCTGATTCTCAAGTCTGGTTTTTAAGTCTGGTTTATCAGTGTTGGGTGGAGCCTACAGAAAATGCCCCAAAATCATGACTGCTCACAAGAAAAATACCTACATATATTAAAATCTACACATGTAAAAACTCACATGAATATATCTATATTTAGATCCATCTCTCCATCTATATATATGTGTGTGTGCATATATATGCACACACACACATATATATATGAACATGCAGAAGATAATTTTTCTATTATTTTCAGCTTAAACACAGAAAATTATTTCTCATTCCCAAATTTCATGACCTTTTACGAGTTTGAAAACAGAAACAAATTCTTAAAATTACATTTCAACTTCTATAAGGGTGTACGTGCACATGCATACATATGCACACACTAACATATACAAATATAATCAAAAGAATGAATTCTATGGGGAAAAATAGAATAAATATATATATATTTTTTCCCATAGAAGCTCATTTCTTAAGCATTTACACATTTATTAATATATCCTCCTCCTTGGTTAGAATTCGTAAACATAGCACATTGACTCAAATGGCCTTTGCAAATTAATCAATTGCCACTTTTCAATCTCTGCAGTCAAAACACAGGGTTGTGAAACATATTTAACACTATTAGATAGGTTTTGCTGAATTTGTTGGTATTTCAACACCTAGTGCAAATACGTATGCATTTTGAGTGAAATTAATTATGCATAAAACTCATATACAGACAATGAAATAATTAGGAATTCAAAGCCATTTTGGGGTGTTTGAACCTGGTGGCCTACCATACCCCATACACGTTTGAATGGCAAAAAATCTGGTGACCTTGCTGGCCAAACAAATATGAGGGTCTAGTATTATCCTGTTGGAAAATGGCTCCAAGATGGCATGCTTTAATGGGGTAACTTAAATGACCTCAAGATGTCATCAACATATCATTGAGCTGTTTAAGTTGCATACAGGATGACTATGTTTGACTTGCTGTCATTAGATAGTACCCCACACCATCACAACAGGGATAATGTCTGGGTGTCTCTGTAAAACAAAGTCTGATTGGGACTGGTGACCCCTCCACTTACAGATCTGATGATCATCTGCTCCAAGAATGAAACAGGATTCAGCGAACACTATGCAATGCCAGTCAGCTGACAGCTATGACGATCGGTTTTGACACCATTTCAGACAACTCAGTTCATGATGTGGCATTAAATGTAGATGTTTCAAAAGTCACTGTGAGTGCCACCCCACTTCAACCAAGCCAACATGAGATGGTTAAAAGTGGCACACGTAGTATGGAAGAGGTTGTAGTTTGTTGGATAGTGGATAATGATGCCATTGGAACAGTTCAGACCAGTTATACAATCACCTGATTTTAACATGCATTCGTGCACCTTTGCCTTCAAGAGCTCTGATTCGGTGCACATAGAGGTCAATTGCTCTATAAGAAGCCTGCTTTACGTATCCTAACTATGAGACCACATTTGAAATATTCCAGTCTTCGAAAATGCTGTAACAGCATCATTGGTTGTGTCTCCAAGAAACTGCAATGCAGACAACAAGAAAAGATAAAACATCAGTTAACTTTTACCTGTTTTATATGATGTTAGTAGCACATTAGAAATGTGCCCTATGATCAAAGTAAAACTCATTGGCCTGAAACTTAATGATTTGCATACCTCGTGAAGCAATTCACACACAAAATTTCGAAATCATCAGATTATTTTTTAAGGATCCCGCTTCTTCATCTTTTGCAAAAGAGTGTATATCAGAAATCCTAATTTACTTTGCAGTTTTTATTATGCAAGCTTCTGTCATGGAATCCTGTAAGTGGCCGCTGACTGCTGTTACAACCATGACACATCTGCAGTTTGTTTTTGTTCACCCTAGCTCTATCAGAAGAAGAAGCAATTAAATAGAGCTGAGACTTGCTAAATTGCTTCATTCTAGTTAACACAGAATGAAAGTGAGGTTATGACTACTTTATATTATGGCTTGTTTATTGTCTGCCTACATTAACACCGATAAGGAGCTACCAAAATAATCGATATCTGCTGTTAAGGGAATCAGCAAGTCAATCATTATAGGTCAGAAAGAAAAAAAATTGCTTTTTTCCAAATTTTAATAAAAAATTGCATAATCTATAATTCTGCCTGTAACTGCAATAAAAAAAACACAATTCCCCCCCCCTTTAATACATCTTTCTGGCAATAGAATCTAAAAATGTATACTTCACACATTAAAGGAAACTCCAGTTCACTGCACATCGTTTACAGCTTACAAGAAAGCTAAAATGCTTCCTAATGGTAAAATTTTAATACTATTATTTGAAACAAATTTGTACTACTTATTGCAAGAATACATCCAAACATTTATCATTATTAATGACCATGTCAGCTTCAATATCGAAAGAAAAGAAATGTAAATAGTTTTGAAAGAAAAGGAATGTGAAATTTAATATACTAATGAGACAGAGAAAAGAAGTTATAATTATTCAATGCTACTAATAATTGTTATGAAGATATTGAAAATTTTTCAAATATTTTACAGCAACAGCATGAAAAGCTTTTTGCAGGCTTGATTAAAAAATTATACAAAATATTATTTTTTCATCTGAATATGAATGTAATAAGGCTTTAAATTACGAAGTGCAGTACTGTTGAACAAGATAAAACTGATAAGGTTGGGATATACATAAAATTTGAAAATGGCTTACAAAATGTATCAACCAAGTGCATCACATATTTATTTTTTTTTTCTTTTTAAATGATTTAAAAATATTACACAGAATCAGTTACAGAAGAAAATTTTTACTATGCAATTCATTACCATTAAATCCCCCCAGAAAGATATCAATCCCACTAAAAAAAACAAATATGGAAGTAGATAAACTCAAGAACTCCTAAATGAAATTTTAAATGACTATTTTGATTTTAAACTATACGCATCCAACAAAGTCAGCAAAGCAATTATTCCCTACAGCACTCGCTGTTTCATTGTGTGCTATGTAGTTACATAAAAACCTTTCAGCTACATTCTTGGATTTAAGCCACTTAAAAAGGAATCTGAAATAAATAGATATCTGTGACATCTACCCTAATTAATACTTCTTTTAATTAGATGGAAAGCTTCAATTTACAGTCCAAGATTATCTTTCTTAACAAAATGGAGATATCACTTCTTTAGGTGTTTTGGGGCCACCTTTGTTTTAATTTTCTCCCTCAACTTTCAGAAGCTATGATATCCTCAACCCCTCTAAGTATTCTCATATTATAACTGATCAATTTTTTTTACTACCATAAAATTAACAGATTGCATTAAATACGGTCAAAAAATATAAGTAACAATGAATAGTTATTAAATTCAAAACAGAGGAGAAACACACCCAAATGAAACATAAAATCAAGAAAGCAATAACCATGCATTTGGCATAGATTTAGTCAAGAACTCGATCAATTTCAAAGGCACAGAAGTACAGTTCCCTCTTCATCAAGAGCAAAGAAATTTGAAAAACTGGAACAGAATGAAAGACTTATCCAGTTTGTTAATGACTGTAAGTCCAATCCAGCACTTACTAATGCTTTTAAAATTCTATTAACTCGATTTTTGAATTTTCGTTACTATTTCTGGTGATAGATGGTGTTACGTTCTCGTCTGCTTTACAGCTGAAGGGTATTAATATGACCTTTGCTTTCCAATCTTGCAGATTTCATTGCTCTTCATGACGAGGAACCTGTACCTGTTTGCCCTCAAAATCGAATGAGTTCTTAATTAAATCTACACCAAACATAAAGTTGTTGCTTTGCTGAAATATTATATTATTTACTTTAAACAAATGTAGTGGTAACACCTTTTTAAACCAAAACATATTACTAATGTAGAGCAATTAATTTCATTCATTGACTATCAAGTTTTGTAAAAAGTATACGATAAAAATGATTGAATTGATAAATTTATTCACTACTCCAATGATCCCTCCTCCCCCTAACATTATATTATCATAATAACTTAAGTGTTTGAGTCTTCACTAAATGTCTGAGCTTTCATTAGGTTTGTGCTATAACTGCACTACATACAGTGTTGCCAGACTTTCAACTAAAGTAGCAAAAGAAGACTCAGAAACTTGAAAAAATCAAAAATGATGTCAGAGATCACGTGATTTTTGTGACGTCATAGTTATGCATGCTCACATTAAAAATTTGCATTCAAGCACGTATCTTAGCTTGAATGCAAATTTTTAAACTATATTGCTCATTTTGAATTGTTTAAGTACCTATTTCTTTTTTAATGAATTCTCATTTAATTTAGGTTTCTATTTTTAATTGAATTTGCAGATATCCATTCTTAAAAGATTCTTCACGTTTAGACTGTTGGCACTGTACTAAATTTTTTCAAGTTGGCAGGTAATTTTTTTTTTTTTTTTTTTTTTTTTTGTTTGTTTGTTTGTTGCCTTAACTGTGAACTTTTTAACTCAGGAATGCTTTTCAGTGAGTTTTCCATTCTGTGTTGTGGATCCGTTTCTTCCGATTACTTAAGAAAGCCCTTTCTGTTTCACTGCTACATTTATTTGCATTGTTATTTATAAAATTTGCTTTCGAAGTCATTTCAATTGCTTAGTTCTTAGCAATATTATAATCACGAGTATAAATTTTCCTTCTTTCTCAGTTTGGATACCCATAATATGGTGCTCAAGTTGTAAGTTCTTTGTTTGGATTCATTATCACCATAGAAAACGCGGGGAACTGCCGAGGGAGGGTGGTGGTGAGAGATCCCAAAGTATTTTTTTCCTTTTCTTTCCACTTTTTTCAGTTCCCTTACCCCTTTCTCATTATACCAACATCAGACTGTACAGCCCTGTAAATCAGATTGCCAGATGCCAACTTCTATTTAAGCCTAAATAAACTTTCTTTAACATTACTTATTTTTAACTGATACATTATTTTAATATAAAAGCATTTTATGATACATTAAAAAAAATCCTTGGAGTTGCAAAAGTAACACAAGAAAATGATGGATGTTACAAAATCACAAATAGCACGTATAATAGCATTAGTTTATCAAAAGTTTCAAATTTGTGAAAAATCGCACAATCTGACAACACTGACTACACATAATCTTACATCTGTCTCAAGTTGTCAATTTGACTATGAAGCTAATTTCAAGCTTTCTAATTAAATATATTAACCAGGCAATTAATCTATACTTTACTTATAGTTTATAGGGCTAATGATTGTCCCCATTTTTCTCTGAGCTTCAAAGATAGCCTACCTATACTATGCCATTGTATGCAACTCACAGGCTAATTCACTCAGTGTTGAAAACATGGTTGGCTGTAACGTCACAATACTTTTGTTTTTAGTTTTTCTTTTCATGCACAGTGATAACAAACAGAAATGCATGTAAATAAACAGTCCAGCTTTGCCTGAAAGTTCAACTACACAATTCTACTCCAAATGAGATAGTAAAAAAATATTGTATTGTGAGGTGATAATATTAAAGCAAATTGGAGGCATACAGAGCATATTTTAGTCTCTTCATTCTTACAGCTCATGTAGGATTATGATTAGTTTCTACGTACAGATATATTTTCTTTGCAAATTACTTCCCCATTTCCTTATTAAATTATGTCCAACATTTTCATTTTTCTTTCTACCCGGGAGGAAAAACTAACAGCTGTGAAGGGGGTCGAGGGTTTGGCTATTATTCCAACTCGAAAGCAGACATGACAGATTCATTTCTGAACTCTGCAGAGTTCTTCAGTAGAGAGGTACAGTTGTTTCCAACCATATTCTGACTTTCACAAACAGTGCAGCCACCATTCCTTTGCAGTGCTAGGTCAGGGTGCAGGGGCAAGATACTGGCCGGCAGTTGAGATATGGCTACCACTGCGGGCCGGGACTTGTTTTTGACTGGTTTCACATATACTCTGTCATGAAGTTCATTAATGATAAAGAAGTACATTACTATTTTGCGAACCATGTGTGTTAGTTCACTTGTCCCCAAGGCTCATCTTCCCCAGGCGAGGGTGACAACTGAAAACTTCCTCAGCAATTCTGAATTTCCCTTCAAAATAACAGTTCTGCAAAATGAAAATGTAAAAGTGATTTCAGCACAATTTTCTTTATGAGACTGATGTACCACTGTGTTAGCATGCCAAACAATCTTTCTTCAAGGCCTTTCAATTCCAAATATAAGAAATTTAAAATACTACAGAATTCTTTACTATCTAAAGAAATATATTTAACAACATTTTGTTATTGATTTAGAACTGCTTTCTAATATATTACATATATGCATGAACAAAAGAATAATTTAGCATAATATACAACCTCATAACCATGTTTCCACTGAATTGTGAATAATTCCCATGCTCTAGTTTAAATTTCAGAATTAGTTCCATTATATTTTCAGATTCAGACAGATGTACAGAAAGATTTAAATCATTCACCCTTTCCACAACAACAGCAAAAGACATTATATTTTGAAGTGAAATTGTTGATAAAAACTTACCATTAGAAACTGCTAAATGCTCCCCAATACCAGGATCACTTGCTTGTTTCACAAAAGGGAAGCTCAGAGGCACCTTACTTACTGTAGATATAGGAGTGGGAAATTGCGAGCACATTACACTCTGAGAACTACTACTTCCGATATTTGCAACCAATGGCACATTTGGCTGCAAAACCTGAAATGCAGATACATATGCAGGGGAAAATTGAGACGGTTGAGCTGCAGCATGAGTATTTTGATTGACAGTCACAGCTGCCAATGATGACTGTGGTGGTATGCCCTGAACAGGCGGTGTACATACTGTGTACCCTAAAAATGGAGTCCCGGAGTTCAGTGGATGATTAAGTGCACCTGAAGGGGAGCTTGATGACACTGGAAGTGACTGAGAACGCAGAGATGAAAACTGTGCGGCTACATGCCCACCTGCATGAGTTCGAGTAGCAGGTGACTGAGTGCTGCTAGTGATAGACACATAGACTGGAGGGAGGGTAACATGTGTAGTCTGCATTTGCATCACAGATTGCTGAACACAAACAGAAGGCTGAGAAGGAGGACTAGTAAACTGTGATTTATGAGATGTCTGGCATGTACTTGCAGGATTCCCCACAATAACAGTGTTATATGAATAAAGTGAAGGTGATCCAGTTGTTACATGAGGATTTTCTCCACTTTGTGTATATGCCACAGTAGGAAAAGAGGGCACATATTGAGGACCTATATATGGAATAAAAAAGTCTTCACATATTTTGATGAAATAAATACAACACACCAACCACAGAGTAAAGTATAATCCCATAAGTGCACTTAAGTCCAACACAAGTGCAATTGCACTTATGGGATTATACACACAAGTACAATTGCACGTTGCACTTGTGTTGCACTTAAAGACAGGAATATAATGCATAATACAATTTGCAAGAATGAGAAGGTTCAAGTCACTAAACTCAAATATTCATTCAAACTTCAAGTACTCAAAATAAGCAAAACACATTAGCATATATCTTGAAATATGAAACAAATAAAGCTACTTAAGAAACGTGTTTTCGCCTATAAAAGCACACAGTTCACAAGAAAATGAAATGCATTGAAAAGAAAAATATAACATCATAAGAATTAAACATTTATTTAAATTTCATGCACACTACCAACTTTACATAGGTAAGTTAAAAATATAAGGCTTTTCGAGAAAAAAATGCATTCTTCCCAGAACATACAACATCCATGAAATATTATGCACACAACGTACCTCATGGTGTTATATAAAATAAGTTCAATATAAACTCATCATCTAGAATATATTAGCAAGTCTAGTGCAGTGTAATAAACAGTGCTCTTTGGATGTATGTATTATCCTTAACAATAAAAGGAACATAAAGTATGACAAAACATCGCAGAATTTCTCCCTGCAACCTTCTGCTCTCAATGAATAATTTCTGGTTGTGTAGAAATCTGTATGTATTGGTAAGACAGCAATACTTATGCATTCTCTAAACTAAATTCCTCTCCATAGAACTACATAATAGGGAAGGCTTTTGAGCATTTTTATGTATACCAGAAGTTTTGTTAATTATTTGACATTTGTTGACATAACGGATCATATCTCAGTATCTAAATTTCTGAATTCCATAGTCTTTGTCTAAGAACACTGCATTCAGTTTAATTCTTCCTCTATTATTTGGCAAATCAAAGACTTCCAAAAGTTTGGTCTTTCCAAGCATTATATGGTTTATGGTATCAGTTCCACAGTTCCCTTCAGCAGAGCTCTAGCACCCGATACAGTCTGTCAACTAATTTGCATACTTTCTATTGTAAAATATTGACAAAACCGCTGTTTGTAGAAAAATTCAAAGGCAGTTTCTAACAATCACAATTACAAATACAAAATGTTTATAAACACAAATTCAACATATATTTTTACACTAGTAATCAATGAATGAATTAATAATGTTATTAAAAGTTACATCAGAAGTTACAGGATTTGACAAAGCAATTACTTATTGATTAGATATTAGCCCCTAATTTTCTTCACCAATGTGAATTGCTTAATTAGATTATAAAAAAATAACATCTGAGTAACAAAAGACAGATGATAATATTGAATAGATGAAGAAGCATGACAACATGAAATTTAAAGTTAGACAAAATTCAACTCCAAATTAACTAAAAAAAATTTCAAAACTTAATGCCAGTTAAATTTTGCTTAAATCTTAATGGTAAAATATTTGCTGCAAAAATAGCAAATCATTGGAACGACTTAAATGAGTTACAAAACAGATTAATTTTATCATATATATCGCATAGAACATTATATCCATTTCAAACCAAATACTGAGAGAAAACAAAATATACATACTTAAAAGATAAGAACTAGCAACAGACCCATGGCTTTTCATATCAGTTACATTCTGACCATGCATCCCGGCACTTTGAGAGGGACACTGAACATTCTGTTGAGGGTTATTTGGAGAAAATGCATGGCGTACTGGATGAATGTTTGAGGTATGTTGTACATAACAAACAGGAAACTGAAATTTTAAAAATACATTACAAAACTATACAGTTATAAAGCAGTTACCCCTCCTAGAATAAACAGATAGGATAACATAGAGTATCCTTTAATATTTAAGAAGTTCATTTCAAGCAGTACATTACGTTTCCACTAACTGCAACATTATAAAAGAACATTATGTAATTATTATACTAAATTTTTATATAATTAATTAATACATTATATTAAATGCTTCTTTAAATAAAATTTTAGAAAAGTAACACTGTTCCACAAATAGGTAACAATTTCTTTCTTAAACTAAAGAGAAACTGCTCAATTTACATTGTCAAATCATTACGTATCACGATTTTAAATCCAAAGCTAATGTTTAACACTCAATAAGGACACAGCGATGAAGTACATCTTAAAACTAGAACTCTCATTATTCATTTCATGACAGTTTAAGGCAATAAACTAAAATTATGCTCAGTTTCACCAAACACCAGATCTTCGAGGCTTGGAAATACCTAGGACAATATACACTTATATATATAAAAATTGAAATGGGAATACTGCTATCTAAAATTCCAATAAAGTAAAAATTAAGAAGCCAATACAAGAAACTAATAATTACAATTTGAAAACTAATTAAATTCTAATCTACAAAGTCATAATAGGAAAATGAAGAAAGTAAAAATTAATTAATGAAAACCTAAAGTTAAAATAAAAATTAATTTTATAAAAACCGAAAGGTCAAATAAAAACTGATTTTATAAAAATCAAAAGGTAAAATAAAAATTGATTTTATAAAAACCAAAAGGTAAAATAAAAATTATTTTGAAATACTGTAAAAGAAAAAGTGACAGATGGAATACATTGAGGCACTGCTGAGATAACCTTTAACTCTGTCGTATATATTTGAGGAAAATTTGCATCTTCACATAGAACATGATTTCCTCCCTTGCATGATAGGCAGCTCTTAGATTTAGAGACATCATTTTATATGTAAATAAACCACATACAATATAATATAGGAAAGCAATGAAATTACTATTAGTTGCTGAGTAATTACACAAATTTCACATAATCAGATTTCCTGGTGACAGGAAAGAGGTGGGAGAACAGTGCAAAGTGATACTGATGCTAGATTAAAAAAGGCTACGTTATGGCTCTGTTTTATTTCCTTTGGATGATTAAAATTTTTGCGAGAAAATTTATCAATATAAGTGAATAATATACTTTTGCTTTACTTCTGACATTACGTAAGGACATGCATAATTAGCATTACAAAAGAATCATATGACAAAGATTCCTTTTGGAATGATGCATTTCAGAAAGATCTATTACTGTGGCAGGCTGTGGTTTCACCAAAGGGGACTAGGTATGACGAAAAACTGTCTAAGATGACAACTAATGGTGCATTTCAGTTTGAGAGCAGCATACTTAGAATATCCTTATGAATACCAGCATTGGCAATAATATGACAATCAACAAGACAATTTTAAAAAACCATCTAAATTCTACTGGGTGAAAGAGGGAGGTCTGGCTATATGGATAACATATGTGAGAAATACATATGTATTGGTTCAAATTTTGAATGAACTATTTAAAATAACTACAAATCTGGATAGATATAATTATGAATCAAAAGAAAAACTAAAAATTATTTATCGCTTACAAGACTGGCAATTCATATAAACATCCTTAGAAAGAACTGAACTTATCTGAAGGTCTTTACATTACTCCTAGATCCATTAATGTCATATTTGAGAATCATACCTAGCAGTTATGAAATATGAATTTCAAGTGAAATATTTACTTGAAAAATCCCATTTTATTTTTACATAGCTATATTACAATAAATGCTAAAATGCATAAAATAAGCAGCCATTTTCAATGATGAAGAAAACTATTAATTCCTCTGCCAATTCCTTCCTCATTAGAAAACCAGTGACATTTTTCTCATTTACTCATTCTGTTCTTAACTTGATGATATATGTATAAATTATACAATACAAATTCTGATATTCGAAATAGCCGAGACTTCAGTGATTCTGGATTTTAGATCATCAGTTTAAATCTAGTAGGATGACATGTAGGCATAACAAAATTAGGGCCCCTCAATGGTTAAATCAGATAGAAGAATGCTAACCTCCCCCCAACAGGGCCGGCGACAGAATTTAGGAGCAGCAAAAAATCTTAGAATTTAGAGGCATCAAAACTCAGGGATAGCAAAATTTTTAGAATTTAAGAGAGGTGCTGGACAGCAGAATTAAGTGGTGTCAAGTTTTTTAGAATTTAAATCCTGTAGAGATTGCATCATAGCACTGGCCCTGCTCCACCTCCACAATAGCTCAAAGGCTGAAAAGGTGCTCCTGGCAAACATCAATGAATACATGGTTATTAGCTATGGTGCAACTGCCTAGGAAGCTAGTATTTGAGAGTGACATACAGAAATCTCATTTAGATGAGAGAAAATCACATTTATGGCCTACCTGCATCTGTGATGGCATGCTTTTGGCTTTTAAAACATAGCAAATACAAATCATTCCCAATGCAGTATGTTTTATTCAGTACTGCACAGCTTATGTAAACATAACTCAATTTTTCCATAGAAAACATTCACAAAGGGACCATCACTCCAAACTTTCTACAGCAGCCACATTCATATTTGTCACACATACAAAGAACCAGAAAAATATCCATAGAATCAGCCGATTTGGCCAAGTCATCAGAGTTGTCAGTACGATCTTAACTACTCAGCCGCAGTTAAACACTGCTATGCACAGGCAAGGCACAACTGTTAAATCATTTAGGCAATTAATATAATGTGTTAATGGATTCTTATTTATCAAAGGGATTTCACACATTTATGCACTTAAATTCATTCTTAGAATTTTCAATGCTAATATTTGGAAAACTGATGATTCATTTTTAACATTCAATGTTATACAGTTGGCAAAAAATTATGTTTGTTACACTAAGTTTGAGCAAATCTGCAAGTTAAATTCAAAACTATGGAAATTTATTTTTACAATTTTCTGCAATTTCATTTCTGTAAAAAATCTAACAATTCACTACTAGATATGTATATACACTGTACAAATACAAATGCTAAAACTTTTTTTTTTTTTTTTTTTTTTTTTTTTGAATTTAAGAAATTTTTTTAAGCCAGAAGTTTAGAACTTTCAGGAGGCTGACTTCCTCAGGATAGTGGGATTTTCATAAGTTCATCACTACATTATTAGAACATATGGTACTGTGCAAAATCTATGATACTGATTTTTGATATGCTAATATAAATATACTCCTTATTGTTACAATTCAGTATTATTATATTTCACATACTGGTTCTGTTGTATTACTTTTTAACATAATATTATGTAATTTTCAAACAAGTCAGCATGATTTATATAGTTTGAGAATTATCTTAAAAGATTCAATTTGAAATTAACAATTTTCTTCTTATAATTATAAGTATAACAAAAACATTACACACTTAATAACAAAACAGTTGGATTTAAAAAAAAAAAAATTAAATCATTCCACCACAAAATGTTTCAATATTCAATATAAAACAACATTTTAAAAGCAGCTGGGGAAATATCAGCCTTCTGATGAGTATTCTTGTAATCGGTATTGAAAAAGTGAATTCACAACAAATAATATGAAGAATGCTGTATATGGCATTAAAAATATTCCAAGAAAAATCTGTTTTGAAATCTTGAAACAAACACATACAGCTTTGTATCTATCAACATAATTCATGTTTTCATTTTTCATGGCATTTAGAAAAGTTTTTAGGCATAATAAGAAGCAGAGCATTAAAAAAAAAAAAAAAAAAAAAAAAACTAACCAGAACAACAGGCCTAGGTTCAGTTAAAAATTTACTTGACTGTGCTTGATGCCTAACATTTTGTACAGGGGTTAACGATGACTGATGAGCAATAGAAGACTGAACTTGTGAAACATACGGTACATAAAACACTGCAGGTGATGATGAAGTATTTACAGTTGGCTGAGGCAGCTGCATTTGTGATGGCAATGCAGAATGAGGTGGTTGACGCTGTGATGATTGACTGGATGGTGAAAGAGAGGTTCCTGATGGTGTGTGATCAGCAGCAGTTGGTGCTTGATCAGCTGCAGTCACTGCAAGAGGCTGGTAAGGTGTAAATGCTACTCTCTGACAACCTAAAGAGGGAAAAAAATTATGTAAAAACAAGTTTATATAACCCTTAAGAGCTTTCAGTGACTTTACTGATATGATAACATACAAAAGAATTTTAATTATTAATAACTACTGATATCTATGTATTTTAGTCGTTCCACTGAATTTTTAGCCTCATCACATTATAATGTATATATAAAAAAAAATCTTGCATATTTAAGATCAAGACAGCTTTTTGCATCTCCAAACATACGGATTAGACACAAATTGTTTTCAATACCTCCATTTCTTAAAAATGATCAAAACATTGCTGAAACAAAATTATATTATGAAAATGCTCATCTTGTGTCTTCATACTGTTTTACTGCTACATCATATTTGAATGAAACAATGAAGTAGAAATTCTTTTGAAGAAATGTCATAGGTATGGATTTATTTTCCTGCATTCTCATTTCATAAACAATATCAATGAATGCTGATTTAATAAATGTCCATCCACTGCAATAATAAGTTAAAACTTCAGAGCTATAGGAAAAAAAGCACAGATCATAATGAAAAAATCTAAACCTCAGTAAATTGAAAGTTCAAAACTCAAAATTCAAAATTAACTTTCCTCGTGAATATTCATTCGAATTCTTTTAGGTATCTCCAGTTTTGATTTGTCAAAGTTATGTCATAATGATATATGCAACAAAGTAAAATTAGCATTAAATTAAAAAATATATAGGAATTATTAAAAGAAATGTATATGAAAGCTATCTATTTGAATTTAGTGAAATATATTTCATGAAAGACAACCGAAAAACTGGGTTGTAACAAAGATGGGAAAATGTAAAAAATCTACAAATAAGCAAGCTTCACACTAAAATACAGACATTTAGGAATTTAACCACTCAGCCACTGATGTACCTTTTCAAATCAAAATCCATTATTACAAAATAGCAAATCTTAACTCTTTCGTATCTTTTCAGGTGTATGCTCGAATGGGTTCTGGGTTTGAATGACATCATAATTAACCTCTTGCAAGGCCTAGTGCTAAAAAATTTTATTTGTGTACCTTTTTCAAAATATAACATAGTATTTCATAGGCTTTCCCCTTAGTAGTATTAATTAACAAGTATTAATTTAAAAAGTCTTGCTTATTCTATGTAGCATGGCTGTCATGTACACAATTGTACACATACAACTTTGTTGTTTGTTTTATGTAATAAAAACAGAATGAGTTGACAGCAGTAGAAATATTCCTCATATTTTTTTTTAATTTTAAATTTTCTAAATCCTTCTAGTGAATTCTTTCTTCCATAAAATTTTGACAACACACATGATGAGAGCTTTAGTTTTTTTTTTTTTTTTTTCTTTTAGAGCAGGGAGGAATGACTAAAACCATTATTTGATTTTTAATCTTCAACATCAGCCTTGGGGTTTTTAACAAATTGTTTTCATAGGTTGTTGATGCCAGTCACATTACAAAATTAGAGCAAATGCAACTCAAATTATTCTTTTTCCTTTCTCTATGAAGAACATATACACAGATAGCCACATATCTAAACATATGTGATTTTCTACAGCAGGTACGCCACATGCTTTATCGAGTACATTTATACAGTACAACTTTTATGGTAACCAGTGACACTGTACATGTTACTTGATCCAATCTATGTTTCATATGAACACTTTTGTGCATAATGTTCCATAGATTTGAGCTTCATCATGTGACTAAACAACTCATGTTTTGTGAAGCTTTTGAGCAAAAGCACTTACAATCAATGAAGATATGTAACTATAAATGCACTGCTATTTAAGTCACTATAAATTAAAAAACAATAGCAAATATATTAATTCCAAAATATGTTCAAAATGATACTGCCACAATAAGCACATGAGAACAAAGTACGCTTTCATAATAATCTGTGCCAGAGGGAAAAAGTCAGCTACACTGCAAATCTCGCTCTGCTATAAAGAAGACATTTTGAATCTCCCTTGTTGCACGAACAGCAAAAAACCTCATTATTTACCATGGTTTCTCTCTCATTTAGTGTATTAATTCCAGATCAAAATTTTTATTTCACAAACATTAAATGTCAGTAATAAGAATAAACTGGCAATACTTACAAGGCTCTATCTGTCATCAAATTTGCAAGCTGGCAATGTTTACAAGACTCAATTTGTAACAAGATTAGAAGATAATGGTATCTTCTGGCATCTTTAACACATCTACGGTTATATACTAACTATAAATGTCTGTAGTAGCGCACACATAAATAATAACAACAATAATATTGAAAATGTATGTGCATGATACACAAAAAATATACCCAAATTTATAAAACTAACAAAAAATAAATAATTAAATTTACAAGAACACACAACACAAACGAATCCACAGCAATATACTACTAATACAATTATCAACACATTTATGCATCACAGTAATTTTTAAATAAGAATTTCTAAGCCTACTCTTTAAATTCTTTATAAACAAAACTGGATTCAATACTTATTACATAACATGTCTCATAAATACTCACCGTAAACACTTACAGACTCCAGTGCTTTAGACTACAATATGCCCTTTAAGTCTTTACGTAAACCTGCTCTGACACATTTCTATATAAAACTTTTTCCTTCATTGCACTTTTGCAAGAATTACAATCTCATATTTGGGTATTCACACTGATTATTTCATTTCTCTTTTTTGATTGCGATAAATAATATAAGCAAGGACACTTATGTATTATCTCAACAATAGTGAACTTTGGCTGCCATTGAAATATGAAAGCTGGTAGAGATACTGTCAGGAATTTTGAAGGAATTCATACTTCTTAATAAACAATTGGTATTCGACCCACTTTGTTTCTTCCGTTCATAAAAATACTTTTGTCAGAGTCTATGATTTTGTAAGGACCCCCTCCCATTTTACTAGAAGATCTGTTTAGAATCAAAAGAGTATAAATTTCCCATATGTAATTGTTAAAATCTATTTCTATTTTGTTGGCCATATTCAGGCAACTGTATCATGTCCATTAATGCACATTTTTCTTAAGTAGGACAGGAAGCAGTGGAACAAGCAGAGGAACAACAGTGAGCAGTTCGGAAAAATGAATTGCCTGCTGTTCTGCAGAAGGCAGCTCTGAAGGGGAAAAGCTACTATAGTAACAGTTAATTTATATGCTTGTTTATGGTTTGTTTCATTTGATTATGGCAAAGCACTCATGGGCTATCTGCCTAAGGGAAGGGATGTCTTCGTTGAGGACTTTTTAAGAGAAACTAGTTCATATGAATGTTACACATAAGGAAATACTATGAAAACATCCATGCAGCCAGCCCGTTCTTGGGATTTCAATCTCGGACCAACTTGGCAATTTTACTGCTCAGCCGCTGGTGGGCACATGCTTGTTCATAAAAACAAAATATGGCTTATTGAGAATCACTTGGAGTTACATTAAATGCAAGTTTAGATGTTATGTGTCTCTAGTTACCTCACAATTATCTGTAACTGGTGTTAAATTGTGCTGCTTGGTTACAGCTTTGCACTCAATAGGATAATACACAAGTACCTAAAAAAGTGAATAAAAGCCATCATATATCACAAATTTTAAGAAACTGTGATTTCAGCATTTTTCAGATAAGTTGACTTAGTTTGCTGTTTTACAGTTATATTTTTGCCTACGGAGAGTAATTAGCTTAAAATCCCCTACTTAAAGTAAACATCAAATCACATTCCTGGATTTTAATTCAAATGCAAATTGAATACTACTGAACAAAATTTCAAAATACCAAGCATCCCTGAACACCCACCTGATTTTCTGAAATGTTACAGGTTCCAATTAAAGTTCTGTAGTACACAACTAAAGACACAAGATATTTTAGATAGAGTTCCATTAAGTTTTCTAATGCATGTCAGGCAGCTTATTACCATTCACAGTACATCTGGCCTATTTAGTGGATTCTTTAGCATTGTTTGAACCTATAAACTCTCAATAACAATTACTATTATTATTAAAGTTTAAGTCAGAAAACCACAAAATTTGTTTGTTATATTTTCATACAAATTATAACAAATTTCTTACCCCCTCCATCAAATTTGCCTACATAGAGGTACAGATACAGACTCTAAAAAAGAAAAAATAATTGAACACGGCACAGTCCAAGAATTTTAGCATAGTCTGCCTATGATTTGAAAAATTCCCAAGCTTCCACTGATGACAAAAATGAAAATGTGATATACGTCCTACAACACTGTTGTAAGATTTACTTCAAAATAATGAAAATTTCCTCCCCCCCCTCCAAGATAAGGAAAATTTTGCAGATGATTCAATTGCAGCACCTGTATGAGGCTTGACGAGAAGACCTCCTGGAAGCAACAAATCAGTGCCAGCAGAATATGGCCACATCAAAGTTTCACCAACAACTGAAGAACTGAAATCTTTCGTATGATCCTGATTCCCTGACTGCCAACTTGTTGCCTGCTGGCCAGTATCCTATAAAAAAAAAATAACTTTTCACAAACAACTTTTGAATACTTTTCCAGTAAAAAGTGTAGCATTTCAGGATTTAACTGAAACAAAACACACTTAATTTCAAATAAATATAGAAATAAATAAAAGAGTGTTTTAACAAAAAGAGAAACAACAGTTCCTATTCTTAGCAATCTTGCAATAGTTGCATGAGCATACATACCACTTCATTCAATTTATAAATATCCCATTTACACAGTTTGATTTGAACATGTATTATTCTCAAAAATTTTTTCCAGGAAAACTCAGTGCAGGTATCAACTTCTCAGTAAGAATTACATGAAATGCATAAATATTTTACTTTAGTTGGTTATAAAATGTCATCTATGAAACTAAGTGGGAAGTATCAATAATAAGTAAACATAAATTTTATACTTTTTCTCTTCAATTTATACACATATTAAATAGCATTTGTTTGATATTTTAACTTTTTAGTTTTATCAATGTTTATCATCACTAGCGTATGCATTTGGCATTGCACTCAAGTTATAATTTTCAGGAAACTGCCCTTTCTTTCTATCAGTTCCTATAAGTGCCTATCTGTTGGGCTAGTGCATAAGTCTGTGCCATTTTTCATTGGGATGGCAACACTGCATTGTGAAGCCTTCATTTTACATTATTCAATTATTTCTTTGGTGACTGAATCGTTGTAAACAGCTTATTTTAGCCATTTCCAAGGAATCAGTATGAAATGTCAAGTACAAAAAAAAAAAAGAAAAAGAAAAGAAAAAGAAACACTTTTATCATCACTTTTGATTACCATCTTTTCTGGTCTCTCTCTAACAACTTTCAGGAACAAGGGTTTCATGATTAAGCTTGTCTTAGCAGATGGCTAACAGATTTCTTTAATTCGAAACCACAACAGTTCTGCAGGACAGGCATTGAACTCCTACTTGAACATGCCAGGCAGTCATTGACAAAGATGTTGATTACATCAATGAGTGAATGAGCAAGTGATTATTGATTTTTGACATAGGATATCAATGCCTTGTTATTGTAATGCTTTGTATTGCATTTTATACTAATAAATTCATCACATGGTAAAAATGGCAACTGAATGAAGAATGTCATGGACTTATACACTCAACTAATGTTCGTAAAATACACAAACTCCCCCCCCTCCTTCAATGGTCAGGTACTTGCTGCTTAGGCATCTGCCAAGGGGCTCGTTGAACACCATTCATCATTTTATCACTAATGTTTCCCAGAAAACAGGCAAAGTAAATTGTATTGTTTAAGAAAAAGTGGTGACATACCATACCACAACTATGAGTGTCTTATCCAGGATTTGAATACAAGTCCAGCATGAAAGAAGCATTTCAATTGAAAAATAAAAAAGTATACAAGAGAAAGTGAAACTACACTCAGAAAAGTAAACTACAGAATCCTGAAAAGACTCTGAATGAAAGTAAAGGAGATAAACAGAATAAGAGGTCTTAAAAAGTTAAAAACAATTTATTAGTAACAACAAAATGAAATACTACAATTAGTATTACACCTCACAACAACATAATACGCAACATACGCATAGTTGAAAAAAATCAAGCAAATTTATAAATTATATAACCAGATAGACCAGTGATGGCTCAACTTCGGCCGGTCCACAGATAGAATTTTAATTTGCTGGTCCGACGCAAATTGAAAGAAATATATATTTGTATATTATATATCCATCTCCTTTTCTACTTTGTTTAAATATTTAAGCTTATGATTTAATACATTGACTCATAAAAATTTTCAATAAGAAATAAATATATTAAAAATTACACATATTAATACTTACATTACATGGTTTTGCAGTACATACAGATTGCTAATTTTTTAATTTCACCTGTACAGGTTCCACAAATATATTTTTTACACTATTCACAGGTATTCAAAGTTTCGTTACCACTGCATGCATTTATTTGGCATTGTTTAAGCTTACGGAAAGGGTTGACGCAAGTATCAATTCTCTTTTTATCAGATACAACAGGAAGCTTGTGAATTTTGGATGAAATGTACATCTTTTGAAACTCCTCAGCTGCATTCAAAATAAAATCACTAAGGCGGATGTTCTTATATTCAGTTGTTTTCTTGTAAATTATCCATGCATTTATTGTGGCCAAATCAAGAGTATTAAAAAAAAAGTTTGAACTGGTCAATATCTGGATGAGGACTTCACTGAGTATTTTCTAGTCATCTGGTCCAAAACATGAACTCCATATTCGGTCGAATTGTAAAAACTCAAAACTTTCGGTGCCCTTTTTCATCAGATGCAATTTCCAATGTAAGGTGCATGGTACTCTTGAGCAGGACATCCTTTTTTTCCTTTATAAGACGTAAGTGTTATATTGTCATGCTTAGCAAGAAGAGATAATCAATGTCTTGTTATTCCCTCATATTTTTGAAAGAATAAGATACTTCTCATTTTGAACGATTTATTGTGCCAAGGCAGATTATGCCTGAACTTCTCATTTCTTTTACTTATTTCACCAAAGTAAAAAATATGTCCATAATCAGCAAGCACTACTTACATGCACCACTTGAGTACCCATAAATTATTTTTCTCCCTTGTGTTTGAAGTTGTCCCAGCTACTTCTTGTAAGATGTTCTGCTGACGACATCACACTGTAACACTCGTTGAAATATTTCCTATTTTCCTAACTAAACCATCATTTGTTTCTCTTCATCGTTTTGAATTTCTTTACTTTGGATACATCATCCTAGTTCTCGAGTTCTGTTTTGTTGTCTTTCACTACTTGCTTGAGCTCGACTATTGCTGTTGATTTCACTTCTGGTAACTATACTAGTAGAAAGCAATGTAATATTTTCTTGTTATAAATTTTTACATTTCTTTGGATTCATTTGTTTCAGTAGGAACAATCCAGTTCTCATCGAATAAATTGGATATAATTTCTGTATAAAATACTTCACCAGGTTCAGCTTCTGAAGCGGAATTATCATTTTCAAAACCTTTCAGCATCTCTTCGTTCGTTAGATATTTTCTGCCAACGTTTCTATGCAACATTATAAACAGGTCAGAAAAACAAAACTATCCTAATGAAGTAAAGTACATTTGTGTCTACTGAAAAATAACCTTCCTAACACAAGGAAAACTAGCAGACACGTGGCATACAAAAATTCCATGCAGGCGTCTTTATTCCCCTCCTCCTCCCCTCCCCATTCACTTATGTGAAATATGCAATCTTCCTTACCAAAAATACACATCTTTATTTATCAGCAAACCAGAAATTGCTAAAAAAGTCTTAAAAATAACGAAAAATATATAATTTTCTAGGTATGGTCAAAATGACCGACAGCCGTAATTCTAGGTATAAACAATTACATTGGCTAAAATAATTGTTTAAAATGGACATAAAAAATATCATGTAACATTCGTTAGTTTTTAGAAAAAGTCAAAAAATATTGTAGCTATAAGTAAAGAATAAAAAGAGTTATGTCCAATTAAAATGGAGATACAGTCAAAATGACCGCTGCCATTATTCTAGTGTTAAAACATCGCTAGTTCAGACCGTAAGTTAGGCACAAGCGAAATGGTTAAAAAAAGCAAAAAGTTATAATTCGCTGTAATAGTTTAAAATTGTACTTAGGAATATCATTTACATATATGTTAAACATTTGAGGTGAAATTAAACTCTCTTGAGGGACCCCCAGCATATATCGGGTGGGGGATTGTGTATTTTTCGCTAACTCGCACGAAAGGATTTACCTGTCAAGTACGAGTTAAGAATTTTAATGAGTTGCGCTGAAAAACCAAGCTGCATGAACTTATAAATAAGCCTGTCATGCCGAGTCCTGTCAAAGGCTTTGACAATGTCAAGATAGACAATTCCAGTTCTCTCTCGTTTACGAAAGCCCTCGTGAATGAATTCAATTACACGGAATAACTGGTGTACTGTGGAGTATTCAGGCTAGAAGCCAAATTGCCCAAAATTACCAGTATGATTCGAGAATTTTCAATGATGTGCAACATACTGATTACAAAAAAGTTCTGGCAGATTTCATTGGATGTCACGCTGAAATACTGTATCAGTCAGGGCTGTCATGAGAAATACTGATTATTCAAATACCATTGAAACTGCAATCATGTTCTTTCTCTGGTGAATTCTTCTATACTTGGCATCAGTAAAAGTAGTTATTCCAAAGTTTTGGGAAAAAATGTTTAATGATTTCTTAGGTCATGATCCAGAGATTCGAATGATCTCAGTATGTTGGTCCTTATGTAAACTGTGTGGAGAAACAAAATGACTTTTTAAGAAAAATCTTATACAAGTTAAAAGCTTATTTTTTAATAAATATTCTTTTATCGAATAAGTTTCTCTGCAGTGTACGTTGATGTGTAACACTTAAATTATCCTTTCTAAAAAAGTGCTCACAAGTTAAATAACACTCAATTTTCTTTTAAATAATGATTTGTAATTTACTCAAATAACATTTTTTATGTAATTGTAGACCAATGAATGTGCTTCTAAATCATTTTACTTTTACTAAAATAAAGCAATGATAATTATAAACGGAGATGTATAAAGGAAATAAGAAGAAAGTATTTGGTTTCTCAAAAAAAAAAAAAAAAACACTTAGTTCGATAGTTACAAGGCTACAAATTTTTATTTTCCTGGGATATAACCTTTCTGAACACAAAACAGTAAGATATAAGATATATCTATTCATGTTTATACAAAATCATGTTAATCACATGTTCGTTAATTTACTTAAAAAATTTCTTTATATTCATATTCTTGCTCGTAAATATCAAAAGTACAAACAAAACTATCATCTAGGTTCTTTAGCTTATAAACATAATGTAAGTTTTTAGGCATTCTTTATCCTCCTAGAAAAAACATGGCTAAAAATCTGTTGACTAGAAGGAATCAGGTTCAGAGAAAAGATTAAGTCCTTCCTTAAACATGATTTTTGCGATGCTATGTCATAAAGCTTGAACACAAAGTATTTCCAACTAATTTCACATTCAGAGTCTGCAAAGCACTTACAAAATTCACTGAACTTACTTGCCTGCTAGTTTCTTTTCCACTGTTACACACAGGCTAGTTCCAAGCATATAATTACGCTGTGATTCTTATGGCAAAGTGCACCTATAATAGAAATCCTGTATTAATCTGTACAGCGACCAGCCTTTAAATAGTGAAAGCAGTGCACCTTAGCATTTTAAAGTTTTTGCCTTTCTGAAAATGGCAGGTGTTTTTTAGCTTTAAAGTAATTAAACAAATCATGTTTTTCATGAAAAACATGCATTTCTTAGCAGAAGAATCACTACTTGACAAACTTGTTGCCGTTGAAGGTTATTTGTTAACTGTTTTATTAAATTTAATTCCATAGGACCTTCTGTTCTGCAAACAAAAATGAGACAGATAAATTCATCAATTACATTTTGGGTCTGGATCAAGACCAACATTTGCACTTCACTGATAGGCTTTTAATCTTGAGGTATGCAAGACTCAACTAAAGGATAAAGAAGTGTGGCACTTTTATCTCTAGTGACACTATGCATTTCCAGAGGCAGAATTTGTTACTCCAAATTATCGTATAACGCACATAAGTGATTGAAAAAATTACCAGAATTTGCATTCTCCAGGACCAATTTTAACACTTCTCTCATATAAGCTTTAACCTGCAAGTCAATTCAACCAAAACAAGTCTTCAAACATGTTATAGCCTTGAGATAATTAGCAGTTGTAGAAGAAAAACTTTCTATAACCTTCTTTGTACGTGAACCCTCAACAGTCACTTGTAATAAATATCGAAATTTATTACCGTCAGAAGTCATAGAATCTTGGTTTTTTAAACTGATCACAGAAAAATAGCCATTCTTTAATTTCACTGTTAAATTTTTGTAATTCAAGCTTTGGCAATTTAAATGTACATTTGCATAAATTCTTATTAACAGATTCATTTAAAATCAAATTTGAAGCAGTTACATTCTGAAGCTCCTTAAGAATACCTTTTCACTTTAGTTTCATTTTCTAATGGCCTTGTCTCTACAATCTTCAACAGCATCAAACGTTGCTTCAATTTCACTTTTTGTCAGTGTGCTGAGTGTGCATATGTACATATTTCCAAGCGTTCAGCTTTCAAAACAAAAAAATTTAAGCTCAGACTATAAATCAGAAAAATCTACGCTACGCTCTCTATAATTTCTTCCAAAACGTTGAAGGACTTCCTAAATGTAGCTCTGTGAATCCAAGTTTAATAGAATTTTTTACCTTCCATTTCTACACTTTAGAATTTAAACAAATGAATCTTGGGTCTGGCCAAGGATACCAGAGAATGTTCACTTAAACATCAACAATCATCACAGACTCTAGAGACTAATAAGCAAATTCTAATGCAGGGATTTTTAAATGTTTTACTGTAAGGATCCCTTAACATTAAAAAAAATTGTGTGGGGCCCCATAAGCATTGTGCAAATCCAACACATGCACAAGTGAAACTATCAGTTTTTTCACTTGTACTGTAATATACAATTACAGTTTTAGGTCATTAACTTTAATTTTTAAAGTAAAATTAATGTTTCTTAAAAAATGTATTGAAACATTTCAGTTTTTCTCTGTCTGTATTGCCTTATCTTTATCAGTTTTCAGAAACATTATGTAAAAATATTTGGTAATTGTAAAATTATTATATTAAGTTAAAATATATAAAAATTGCTTAACTTTTTGGTGAACCCCTGCTGCAGGTCCCATCCCCCTAATTAGGGTTGAGACAAACAGTTTAAGAAACTCTTCTAAAGTATCATTCATGATTGAAAATATGTTCTGACCATCATCTAAAATGTCACTCAGGCAAACAACAAACATTCCTTAAAAACACACATATTTTTAGCTCAATCTAAAATTTTTGGTAGCCACTTCCAATGAGAAAAACTAACAATAATTAGTGGCCAAAAAACATTAAGTAAATAAAATTAAGTGAAAACATGAATAAAATACAAATTACATGTCATTTGAAATCCAACACTCTGGAAGTAATGTAGAAAGGATAGAGACATAAACTTCATTCATCTCTTATCTTACAGCCATGAAGAAGAATGTGACATGATAAACTAAAAATAGATATGCTTGTGGAGTAGCTGAATACTGGAATGACAGTGATCACATAAGACATTTTCATTGTTAAAAAGTTCCTGGACCATTTAGAAAATGTGTTTTAAGAAAGCAAAAAGACAGAAAACTGTGAAACAGTGAAATTTCTGAAGAAAATTGAGCCCACGAAGAAGTTACTGTTGATGATGTTCGAGAAATGATAGCACAGAATGAAAACTCAAGATGGTAAAATAGTTGTACTAGTAAAAGAGAATCAGGGTAAAAATGAAGATGAAACAGATAATGCAAACATGAAATACAGTGGAAAAGTTAAAAAGATAACTTAAAGAAGAACTAATGGTTTCTGAAGGAATACTCAATTACTTAGAGCAATTATGCAGATTGCAATAATCAGATTGCATAATTGCTCTAAGTAATTGAGTCTCTAAGTCTATCATTACAATTATGCAATTTGCATCTGCTACGGACATTTTCTTTCTCTGTCACCTATATGATGAAACTGCAGGGAGATGCAATAAGTGGAGACAGTCTAATCATGAGTTTTTTCCCAACAAAGAATTCCTAGTCCTTTCTTCAGTTTCTGTATGCAAGACTTTTCTTCAATTTTAACAATTATTTTACAGCATGTAGTACGTTTCTATGTTCATTACAGTAATATGTTCAGAACTGAATGTTCAGAACTAGAATGTTCATTACAGTAATATGCTGTAAAATATTTCGAGTTGGGAATAACAAACCCATTATTTTTTTTTAAACTTGACATTTTAGGTAATTTCTCACCTCGCAATCAACATTAACTCGAGTTTGCGAGAAAGATTTAAGCCAGAAGATGTTAAATTTCTTAATTAGAAACTAAATAATTATTTTTAATTGAGGCACATAATATATGACACTATAAACAACATTAAATGATTACAATAATGGTGCAACTATTCAAAAAAATTATCAGTTGGACATATTTTATGTAAATCATATGTAGTGCATTTTATACCAGTTAGGCATATTTTATAAAACTTATTAATGATATAAATTAATAGTTTCTTGGAAAACTAAACTTAATGCTTTCAAATTCCTCAGCTGTTGCAGTTTGAGAAAAATGTACCTTATTTAATGTTGAATGGCTACACTCTCTGATCAGGCTGTTTGTCAGGCAGCACAGAAAATAAATTAAAATTCTTAGTCTTGCACAATGGCAACAAATGCATGGATGATAAATGCTCTGGTGACCCAAAAATAAAAGAACCTGACAGAATTATTTTTAACATAAAAATGATCTAATAGCTAGACAAGGAATTAGAAGCTAAATTTTACACACACACACACACACACAAAATCAATCATTTACATTAGCACGTTATGTTATGAAACTAAAAATGACCTGGATGCAAGGAACTTGAATTTCAGTAGGCTGACCAGCAACCACAGGGAATGTTTGCTCAGTAGTAGTTGGAGGACATTGGCAGGGTGTATTTGGCTGAGATACTGCAGATGAGACCAAATTTGTTGGACTTGGTGAAGCTTTTGGTAGATGTTCTTGAGGTTCATATGAAACATCAGAGTATGTTGGAACAGGACTACTTGAAATGGTTGTTACATTAAAGGATTCTATAAAATATTGCAATACAATTACAAAAGATTAAATTTTCAGCTATGAAACACCTGAATAAATAATACATGGTATTAAAACTGAAATGCATGCACTGAAACTACTAACAAAGAACTAAAATGATAAGATGTTAGGATTCATTCTTAGCAGCTTAAGAGCATTTTCAAAACTTTTAAGAAGTTGACAAACAGGTACTGTAATTTCGCGCGTATAGTCCGCGGACTATCTGTGTTTAAAATGTGAATTTTTGAAGCTGCGGACTATCCACCAGTGCGGATAATATGCTGGTTGTTCACGGTTAAAATCATTGAAATTTAAAAAACGCGCTGTCGTGAACTGCCGATGATCAAATATAAAAAAAGCGCGAGATTCCAAGAAAACATTCGTATGTATCGTATCGATAGTAAACCATAGAGCATAGTGCAGAACGAATGAGTAGTAGCAAGTAGAGCTCCTAAAATCCAGGCTGGCGCATCAAGCGATGCCGGGATATGAGCCAAAGAAAGTCTTGTATGAGCACTCACTTAGCGCAACCAGAGTCTTGTATCCCAGTATCCTTCACACTGCTTTAGTGCAACTGCCGGGAGGGGAAAAAGTAATTGATGCGTCAGCTCGGTTTTTAGGAGCCATAGTAGCAAGTACCTGGAGTACGAAAAAAAAAGCGTGATTCGTTTACTTATAGCGTGGTTTGGCAACACCGAGTGAGTGGGGTCGAAGGTCACATTTCATTACCACTTATCACGAGTATAGCACGTTGCACAGTATTTTGTTTTCGTATTTTGTCTTTCATCTTCGATAACGTTGATGAAACATCGCCGGGAAAAAGATGGAAATAGAGAAGCGGGCCGTTATTGGTTTAATCCTAGTATTCGGTGCACACGGGATTTGGCTACTTTTGGCGACTTTATGATGAGCAGTGAAAACGGGACATATACGATGAGTAGTTAACGGGTCATTCAAAGAAAATATATAGTTAAACATAGTATATACTATGTATATAGTATATATACTATGTGTATATACATATCTATGTGTGTATATATATATATAGACGTTCTTTGGATCATTTTTGGTGTTGGCGATAATTTTCAAAGTCGCGCCAAGGCTGCACCGTATACTAGGATTTTACCCCGTTATTTTGAAGTGGACGAGAAAGCGGTGAGAAATTGGCGCAAACAAAGGATGTGTTTAAAAAGCATGGGAATATTGCCGTATTAAAAAAACATAATTTCGGACGTATAGTCCGCGGACTATCTGACGATTTTTGAAATTTTTTTTAAATAAAATTGTGTCTGCAGACTATACTTGCGAAATTACGGTATTTGAAAAGGATAAAGAGTTCAGATGAGGTACAAACCTTCAAAAAGTTCACAGCAGCAATAACAGCATCTTTTAATATTAGATGATGGCACTGAAGAGTTACCAGCTAATAACATCTGTCATGGACATTGACAAGTTAATAATGTTCTCTATATAAACTACAACTGAATACGTATATACCGTGTAACATCCAAGACAGAGCTTATGAACCACAATTTAATAGAACTAAAACATATTGTGCATAATAATGCAACACAGAATTAATGCATAAATAATGAATTTTGCAAAGTACAACAGAAAAGGCACAGCAAGAAGCATGTACACATATACTTTCCATCATGCTAACCTAAAAACGCATATATGGCTACAGCAGTTGACTCGCAGATTTTCTTTTCATTTTTATGTTATCAATATGCTATCATCACTCACAAATGTCTGATGCCAATGTGCCTAAACATTTGGCAGCCATTTGACGAACTTTGCATGTTTAAATCAGCAGCAGTTTCTTTCTGATCGAGTTTAAACTGATATTTGATTCTATGACCTGCATTTCCTATAGTCATATACTGTACAGCCAATCAGTAAATATTCTTGAAATTCAGTTCATAAGCACATTATAAAAAGCTGCAACATTATTTGTATTTAAATCAGAATGATAATATTCTTTGCAAATAATATCAATTTCTTCAATTCTAATTTGTGAACTTGTTCTAACAGGTAGCGCTTAATTTCAATTGAACAGCAGAAAAACATATTTGATTCAAAGCAAGTAAAATAACTGAAAAAAATGTCGAGATAGTAATAAATAATAATAATTTTCACAGTTTCTGCAAATAATTTTCATCAATCAAATTTATTTATTAACAGTAATTATGTAACAATTAAAATAATTTTTTGACATACTATGCAAAAATTCAATGAAGTTTATAAAATTTTCTGAATTTTAGTATTGAAGACTAAAAAAATTCAAAAATCCTGTAGAAGGTTTCCAAAAATTATTTTGTAGGTTGTATAAGGATTGTTAATTGTCACTTAAAATGGGTAATACATGCAAAATAATCTCAAGTCTCCTCTTTGAAAGTTTCAATTTAAATTCAGGCTGCAATCATCAAAAATGCATAATTAAAGACATTAGGGTCATAAGTGTTTGGAAAGGGGAAAGATGAAGAATAAAATTTGATTTTCTCCAGGAGTTTAAATATTAATTTTAAAATAGAAATGTGACTGGCATCAAATTGGAATAAGATTTAAATTATATTCTTTTCTTTAAAATGTCGCTGAAAATAATGGATCAAAGGCTATACTTTCAAGTTGTCAAAAAAAAAAAAAAAAAAAAAAAACTTTTATTCAATTATAAAAAAAGGTATGAAAAACATGATTTTAAAATTGTTACACATAAAATAAGTTACATAATTAATATGAAAAGAAAGAAACATCAAAGTTTACATCCAACTACGGAAAAGGCAAAAAATGCATACCCAACAAAACTGCATACAGCTCTTATTAATTCTAAAGTCGCATCTCATGTTTTAAAGGAAAATCCACCCCCCCTAAGAGCTATTGCAAACTCTCTAAATATTTCTGTAGGAAATGTGAACAAAACTATAAAATCTGATTTAAGGCTAATCAAAACAAAAACACATGATGTTCACCCCCTAATGCCAAAATATGTTTCTCGCCATAAGACTGTATGCAGTTGCTGTATGAAAATCATTTGGCATCTGAAAAATGCAAATATATACAGTCAAAAGTCTTTAATTCCGGACTCGTTGGGACTTCGGTGATTCCAGATTATCGATTTTTCCGGATTAGAGATCATCATTTTAAATCTGGTAAGATGGCATGCAGAAATTATAAAATTAAAAATATGAAACCGTAATTTATGAAATAAAGAGCAATTATGATCTAAAGGGTATCAAAATTTACAAAAAAAAAAAAAAAAAAGCTTAATATTTATTAAACGGTGTTTACTTTATTAAACATTTCTTTCAATGCGCGCATGCGTAAAGCATACATTACGCATAGTCGAAATTAGAAAATTGGAGCCAGAAAACTCTTTGATGTGTACTCGTGATATTTATAATGACGAGGAATTTGATTTAAATCATATCAAAGACAGAATACATCGAGATGAAATACTACATTTAGTAAGGAATTATATGCTGAATAAAATAAAAACATACGCTCTGAAGATAAGGATAGTGCTGACATATCAACTTCCAGTTCATTGTGCGCCGCGACATTCCCATTGATTAAAAATCAATTAGTTTCAAATTACTGCCAGCACATACACACATGCATTGTTTTTGTATGAGCAGTGCCACGGGACTGTTTAAGTTCCTGCTTCTACAAAATACAATATGCAACTTTGATGATGCTATTTTTCATTATTTGCATGTTATGGTAATAGGCAGAATAATATTATGGGGATACAAAGTACCTGAAAAAAGCATGATGATGTTTTTTTTATATTCCCAGATTTACAACAATGAGTGGTTAGTCTATATTTTAGGGAGCCCTTGGATTATTGACAAGTTGTTTCATTTATCACCAAATTGTTATTTCATTTATGGTAACCTGGGTAGTTGAATGTTATGGCAAACCTATCATAGCATGATTGTGGTGAATTTGACTGATAGGAAAATATTTGTAAGGGCTTATTTCTGCATTGGATGTCAGTTAGGAGGTATGTTGCTTATTTTGTGCTGCACACCGTAAAATGGCTGTATCTGATGATATTAATTTGGAACGGAAGGGAAAAAAAGCATTAATTGACTTGTGTGTAAATGAAAGTTTATGTAGTAGTTATTCAAAGTGCCCTGTTTGTATGAAGAAAATGCGTATGGTGAAACATAAGGATCATTCAGATGGGTTTGTCGCAAGAAATGTCACTGACAGTCCGGCACTACGGAGGGTATTTTTTATTCTTGTTTTTGTGAATTTATGTAGTGACGGCAGTATGCATATTAAAGTTGAGATAATTGTAGAAAGTTTTTGGATGCTGTTAAGGAATTTTGTGTACCACAGACTGAAGAGATAGAAATTTCTAAATATGGTAAGTCGATATTTCCTTTTTGTAGTGTACATATGCAATAATATGTATTTCCTTTTTTATGTTATTTCACTGTATGATTTAAAATGCAGTTTATTGAGCTTCAATTGCCTACAAATTTTGTTCAATTTTGGTGTAAGTAACTTTGTTATAACATTATATGATATCATCATTCGTCTGATTTTGTTTAAGTGAAAGTAATAGATCGATGTGTACATGGACAAAGTCAAGAGAGTGTGCAATGCTGAGTTTGTGCATTTCTCTGATTTTTTTTAAGTGAAAAATTGAACCATGTATACATGGACACCGAGTCTGCGCAATTTTTTGACTTGCTAATTAGGTTTTGTGCAGTGGCCATCTTAAATTGCTGGTCAATTGCCAAAAATCGCCAAGGTGCACCCTGAAATATATTTTCACCCAATGAGCATATAATGAAACATAAATATCAGCAAAGGTCACATAGTGCCTTTTGTAGGCAGAGGGACAAAAAGTCATAAAGCAAAACCTCTTACCTCCTACTACAATTCGTCTGCTTTATAATGTCAAATCAAAGACAGAGAAGGTTATTTGCCAGACAGATATTTAACATTGATGAAACTGGCCTATTCTGGACAAGAATGCCCGACT